AAGATGAAAGATTTTCTTCTTCCCTTATCTATAGGTGTTTTTCCTTGGTTGCTCCTCAGTTTCTTTCAAAGATCCTCTTCTTCGATCAGTCCCTCAAAAGCCAACTTCCCGAGGGTCTTTGGTTCTCCTTTCTTCCCATAATCTTACTAGATAAGTCCTACTACATCCATAGTTTCAATTCCTATGATACTCCAATGACTCCAAATTTGAATCTCCTTTTGGGACCACACTTCTGAGAACAGAGCTACCTATTCCACTGCATACTACAAATCTCAATGTGAACGTTCCGGGGGTATAGCACACTCAACACATCCAAAAGTGGACTCCAGCTCCACCTCCCACATTCTATGGCTTAGGAAACAGTACCATCATCCACCAAGTCATTCACTTGAAACAGAAATCTGAATACCTCCCAAGTCTACCACATTCAGTCACTAAATTCTAGAGATTACACCTCCTGAATCTCTCTTGAATCTATCCCATTCTTTTCTCAGGAAATCTGATTATCCTCTTTTTTTCCTCAACCTACTTATTCTGAGATCTTTCCACTTATCCCCATCTTTTCTGCCTTTGGAGCACAGTCTGCCGCTCCATCTCATTTCCTGCCATCTCGAGCTCCACTAATTTTTCCCCACCTTGGCCTCTCAGTTCCTAATCTGTCAACTCCCATGAGTCTCCTCTCCACTCAGCTTCAAGCACCCAGCAGGTCTGTGCTTGGACTTTGTCACCATTCAGAACTGTGTCAGCTTCTAGTTCTTCAACTCCCTTCTGATCACAATCTTAATTCTGACCAAATTATTACTGGTCCTCACCATGCTCTTTAATCCCTCAGTCTCTACCTAGTCTCATTATCTAGCACTTTCTTATACCTTACTTCTATAACCTTGAGCCCATGGTTCAGACATCTCAATGATATTGTCACTAGCACCAGACCTTCTTCCACCAACCTTATACCTGGACAACCATCAACTTGGATATGTCCCATCATTTCTTTTCTCTTGCTTGAGAATTACTGAGCATAAAACTAAAAATAGTAAAACAAACTAAGAAAGTATATCATTTCCAAATTCTTTGTGTATGGATTACTTTCATAACTAAAATAATAATAATAGTAATAATAATATGAAGACCAAGACGAAGAAGAAGGAGGAGGAGGAAGAGGAGGAGAAAGGGAATTTAAAGTAATGATTAAGTAAATAAAACTCTGGGCATTGAGGTTGGACTTATTACATCTAAGAAGCCATTACTACCTACGTTTCTAAGCACATGTGCAAAATACAACCCAGATATTCAGAAATAAATCAAAATGTTTATGTGACTATCCAAATATATTTTTTCAAATACTGAAGTCTAAGCATGAAAATCCNGACTCACCAAATGTTAGATTCCGGCCCTTGAATTTTATCCACTATGTAATGGGGGATTGTTGAACATTGTTAAACTGAAAAATCACACAATGAAATTAGTTTTGGGAAAATTATTCTGGGTGGCATAAGGAGGGAATGGTGAAAGGTACAGAAAACAATGTTATTATGTAGAACAAGAGCTCGAAGATTCTTTTAATGATAAGATAAAGATCTGAGGGAAATTTGAGAAATATTACAAAGGAGGAATGGACAGGACTTAGTGAGGGACCCACCTCTGAGTGAAGGATTGGAAGGAATCCAGGTAACTATCAAGGATTTGAGCTTCAGAGAATAAACAGTGTGTTTGCATGCAGACCCTGAGACAGTATAATCAGGAAGCCATTTTGGGGTGTGCTGGAGCAAGAAAGAGACAAGGGGCAGATAATAAGTTTGGTCTGTGATATAAGGGCCTTGAGGTGATATTACAAAAATGTCCAGGTATAGTATAAGAAAGGTATTTGTTCTTCGACCCTGGCTTCTGGCACAGAGCACCTAACTCCTTGGAATTTCCTCGTGATAGGGTGGGAGGAGGGTCTTTTGTTCTAATGAGGTGATTCTCAGTAGGGCCCTACATAGGTTCAGGATGGGGGTTAATTACCAGAAAGACCAAACATTGATTAAAAGCTTAGAACTTTCAGCCCCACCCCACCTAATGTCCAGAGAGGAGACAGGGAGATTGAGTTAATCACCAATGGCCAATGATTTAATCAAACCTATCTATGTAATGGAATCCATAAGAACCCTAAATGACAGGATTTGGGGAGCTCCTGGGCTGGTGAGCATATGGAGGAATTGGGAGGGTGAAACATCTGGAGAGAGCAGGAAACTCCACCCTCTTCTCCCCGTATCTTGCCCTATCTGTGCATCTCTTCCATAGGGCTTGTATCCTTTGTAATAAAAAGGTAATAGTNCGCAACACCCGGCCCGCGGGGACCGCCCGGGGAAGCGAGGGCGCCGCCGCCCCTCCCGGCCTTCCGGCCCCGGGGACGGCACTCACTCGCAGCTCCCTCCGCCTGCGGCCGCATCGCCCTCGAACCTGCGTCCCTCGCTGGCTCCCTCCGCCCCAAACACCGGCTCCCGGCGCTAGGGCAGTTTGAAAATGGCGCGGAGAGACGATCCCAGTCGGCGCGGAGGAGGCGCCGCGGTTGCCCCGGTAACGGGAGCCGCGACCGATTCGCGGCGCGCGGCGGGGGCGCGCCGGACCGCTATACGCCCGGAGGCGATGGCAGCGCTGGACCCCGGTGCCCGGAAGCGGAAGGGCCCGGGAGGCGCGAGGCTACGGCGCCCCCTTGTGGCCAAAAAACCCAACCCTCAGCGGGCGTCAGAGATGGAGCCCTCCCGTTGGCTGGGTGCGTTGACTTCTGGGTGCGGGGTTAAAACGCTGCCCCAGCCCTGGTCCTGGCAGCAGATGAGGCTTCACCGGCAAGGTGGAGGCCGTCTCACCAGGTAAACTTCAGCTTAAATATATTGTCTTGGCAACTTTCCCCCACAGCCACCGCATGGTGGCTCCCGCACCCATGTCCTGATAAGGCTCTGTGTAGGTCCTTAGCAAATCTTCACTTAACGTTACGTCTTTAAGCAAAAGGACATATAATGAAACCAAGTTTACTCTAGGCTAATTGACATAAATAAAAGTTAAGTTCCTACTATATATTTCTGGTCACAAAAACATCACCAGCCTTATAAATAAAGACCCAAAATACTTCTAATATTAAACATTGAAATAAATATGAGCTATCTATATAATGAATAAAGATTGATCAAAATAAGTAAGAACATTATTTTCCAACCCATTTATTCTAGTTCAGGGTGGAGGGCGGGAACCCAACCTGGACAGGACATCTTTCCATCGCAGGGCCACTCACACCCACATCCACACTCAGACTGGGACAATTTAGACACCCCGAATTACCCAACGTGCACGTCTTTGGGATGTGGGAGGAAACCAGAGTCCCTGGAGNAAATAAAATAAAATTACAATAGCGTTTCCTACATATAAAATGAAAAGGGCAAAAATACTGCATTTTAAAAATCATAAAACTTTACCTTTAATGTGTTGGGCTGATTGTTCTCTCAGTTTCATTAATTCCAGGTATAATTCATTATTTTCCCTGCTCAATCTTGCATTTTCAAGTCTATAAGGTTCCAATACAAAATCAAAATTGGCACTTTCTTTTTCAGCTTTCACAGCAGATAATTTTGACTTCCGAAGACTTTCTGTTGTATGAACTAGGTCACTAGAATTAAAGAATGGAAAATGTAAATGCAAGGAAACATTCCATTAACTAAAAATAAATTTCTAAAAAGGCTTAAATATGTTAATGCTCGGTGAGCTGAAATCGAAAAACAAACAAACAAAACCTCTAGGAGTCTTTCAAGGTACCAAGAAATATTCAAAAATTTCTCTAAACAAGACTGATTAAAAGTTATGAAATATATACAGTTAGAATCATCTTTGAATATCCCCTCTGGCTTATCCTCCATGTATAATTAGTCACCTTATCCTGTGGAATTTGTGCAACTTATTTGTTCATTCAGCAAACATTTATTAAATGCCTGCTACATAAGTGACAGGTCCACACACACAAAAAAATCAGTTCCTTACCTCTAAGAACATAGGCCATATTGCTCCAACAATATTCACCAAGCAGGGAACACAATCAAGAAAGAACCCATTGTCATGAAGCTTATAATCTACTGACAGCTTGTCAAAAAGTTACAATACTACATGATAAACTCAACAAATATTTCAGTGCCAACTATGTGTTCAGCCTGTCCTAGGTATAGCAGTGATAAAGTCAGTTTCTAGTCTCATGGAGTTTGAATCTAAAGAGAAGTCAAAAAGAAGTTTTTGATAAAAGTAAGTAGTTAAGGTAGCACGTAACACACATGACAGAGTCCTGCAGGCCATATACCTAACCAAACCCAAGGGCGAAGGAGGAAGGAGAGGAGAAAGGGACTTTACAGGCAGATAGAACAGCATACAGAGAGACCAAGCATAAGAGTGTACATACATTTAGGGAACTTCAAGTTGTTCCACACATGGGAGGTGAAGCTGTAGGGGATAGATCAGGAAGGGTTTGAAGGCTATACTAAAGACCACAAAATATCTTTCATTCATTCTCTTTCCCATTATCATTTTTTATAGTCCTACTGCAAAAATTCAATAAGCAATGTCCCTGTTTCAAGTCTCAAACCACATGTGGGACTCATGTGGAAAAAAACCAAAAATCATGAAGAATCATTCAGTTAAGGTAACATGTAACAGCTAAAGAACCGACCAACCACATATCAGAGATCCATTACTAACAGTAATTAAAGACAAGTAAGGCAGACATAGAACTCCCAACTATATCAGAAAGCCACATAAAAAATTAGAATTCTATTCACAGGGAAAACCCTCAGAAATGTTTACTCTGAATGGTATAGTGTGAATGGTGACCCCTGGAGTTTTGCAATGTAGAGGCCTTGAACTGATGACAGGACTAGGATGCAAGATATTCTTCAGATGATTTAAACTTTTCAAAAATCTACCCATTTCTTTACTGAAGCACGAAGTTAGTCAGAAACTAGATAAATGGGATTAAGGATCATACAGGTTTAGAACTGTATTTTCATCTTTACCTGAAAAGTTTTTCTACCAAAGGTAAACACTCCACTGTCAGGGTCTGGCGGTATCCCAACTGATCCAATCTTTTCCTAATAGTAATATACTTTCTTTCTGCAGCTGTAGTCATCTTGTCTTCCAAAACTAGTTTTATTCACTTCCAAAATTAAAGTCCTAAAAGAAAAGAGTGAAACGTCATTTTATTATGATAGCTAACATTATTGTTTCATAAGAAGAAACAATTCTTTTAATAGAAAGCAATTCGTTTTTCTCTTTAGGCAGGCAGATTTCTGGAATATTTAGATTGATTTAAATTGAATACTTATGATATTCATGTTGCTGCATTAAAATAAGTAGCTCTTCATAAACCGATTATGTAAAAGTGAAAACAACAAAGCTTCTAAAAGAAAACAAAGAATATTTTCCTGAGCCTGCGATACACAGAGAATCCTGATAAGCCTCTTTTAAAAGCACTAAATATAAAAGACAAACTTAATAAATTAGACTTTATCAAATTATAAAATGTGTTCATCAAAGTATTCCATTAAGAAAACAAAAAGACAAATAAGAGTGGGAGAAATTATTCATAATATCTGACAAAGGATTTCTTTATGGAATATACAAAGAACTCTTACAATTTAACTCTTAATATGGACAAATAACCCAGTAAGAAAATGGGCTAAAGACTTGAACAAGCACTTTGCAAAAAGATATATGAATGGGAATAATCATCGAAAAGATGCTTAACACTATTAGTCGTCAGGGAAACACAAATGAAAACCACAATGAGGTGCAATTTCACCCATACTAGAACGGCTAAAATTAGAAGTACAATATCAAATGTTGCCAAGGATCTGGAGCAACTGGAATCTTTGCACTGTCGAGTAGAGTATAAAAATCACTGTGGAAAATGTCTGGCAATTTCTTATAAAGTTAAACATACTCTATAATTCTGAAATTCTGTTCCTAGGT